AACCAAATGCTAAAACTTTGATTCTCAATGATTTAACATGAAAATGCTCTGATACCACTTGTAGGATAATTTATTAATTTAAATCACTGGATCTTTCATGTTGGATCATCAAGAAATACATGATTTATAGCGGAAGCGTACCTGAATTAGATATGGTTAATGTAATGATTGAATTTTGCGATTTTGTCTTCCAAATTTACAAGCAGTCTCCTTTTTCTCTATATGATGGGATGCAGAAGAGAATAAACAATACGTACGTGTGATTTGGGGACCATAACCGTATTTATATAACGATTCCCTTTGACCTAATTCGGCCCATTATAGAATTAGGGACTTGAGGCCGGTCTCTACACATTTATAAACCCATACTTTAATTGGATGCATAACGACCCAAAATCGAAATTTTATTAGATCACTTTTAACGGGGCTTAACAAACTTTGATATCCTTTAATTTAATGCACAACAATTTACACATATAAGCCCACATGATCATTTAAAAATTCCTTACAATGAATATTTAATTACTTTTGTGTTTTACTGTAATTAACATGCTAGGCCAAAACTTCTTGTGTTGGGACGATGATATAAACCTTAATTTTTCATTTTGATTGAAGACATAATCTTTTAATTAATAATCTGTCGTAATTGAATGATTTCGTACTTTTTCTTCTCGTTTGAATGATTGATCACCGTTTATATGAATATATGACTTATTTTATTTTTTTGGTAGGTTCGAAATAGGTCTAGCTTATTGTGGTAATCAGCATAAGATCATCTAGCCATTAGGGATAATTATTTATGCCTTATGCAATTTATATTGATAATCTTTTGATCGAATGCATTTTTAGTTACTCAAATTTGGGATAGGGATATCTCGGGAGAGATTGTTAAAGGACTATTGTTTATAAATCTGCACATATTAGGGTAAAAGAGAGAAGTGAAGATTATAACAAATTTTAATGGTGAAGTCGGACTCCTAGTAAGTTTTCTCATACGAAACTCTTTCATCTCGATCTTCATTTTTTTTCGATAGTTGATTGTAGAGTAATTAATAGATTCATAATATATTTCATCTAAACCACATGTATTTATTCGTTTTTGAGCGCAAATTGATAAATTTGAATTAAAGTCTAAATTCTCGTGGACACAATAGTTGCACTCATTTTACAATATTATTTGTTGGTAATCCAATACGTTTGTGTGATTTGACATAGTATTGTCTATTATATTTTAAAAGCAGTAAATATAAAAGTGAAAAAAATTATTTTTCCCTTATTTCAAAGCACACAAATGGAAGAAAAATTATTATAAAGGATTAGACATATGAATTAATAGAGGGTTAAAGAAAAGAACTCAATCAAATATAATGCAATTAAAGTGTGATGTAACTAGTAAAAATATAGTGTAAATATAATTTTCTTGTATAGAATCGTTTGAAAAATTGTGGATTCAATTTTTTCCATGGCGCCATGACAGAAAATATTATTGAGTTGTTAAGAGGGTGTTAAGCTATTCACAATCAAATTGGAAGTTTCAAATATTGCTTATTTGGCAATAAATTTTTTTTAACACTTGTTCCACATAGCTATGACTATGCTTCTACGTTATAAAAGTATTAACAGGGAAAAGTGTTAACATCATTGTTCTACCAAGTACCATCCACACGCTTTCTAACAACTCGCACCACCAAGCCCTGCTAGTCCACTACTAAAAATTCTAAACACAGCACTTTTCATTGAGATCATATGCCTTAGCCTTCTTAAATATTACGAACAGAAACACAAATTGCTTGTAATGAAGAACACAACAAAATAAAAAAATGGAATTGCTAAAGCGATAGGATAGTTCTAGGAAATCTTGACCTCCCAAATATTGATTTTCGAGGAACAATAAACCTCTAAAGACTAAAAATACATTTTCAGAAATAATTGATCACCCTTACTTCATTCTTTATTTGAATTTAAATATGAAAATATTGTATCCATTATCTTCTAAAATTAAGAACCATTTCAAAAATAAGAAAATATAAAATTAAAATCTGAAAATGAAGAAATAAAATAAATTACAAATATAGAAATGTACAATCTTCTTCATCCAAGAGTTTTGCAATTCACCATATTTGCAAGAAAATAGAAAACTATTTGACCAAAACTGATAGTAAAAGGACCTAGAGCCAAAAAAAAAAAATAAAATAAAATAAAATTAGAAGTTCAATCGTTCATCCATGTATTTTACTTGATATCACTTGAACAAAAAAATTAAAAATAAATCATTTTTGGACACTTCATTAGGTATATCATAAAATAAAATAAAATAAAAAAAGAAAAGTTAAGAGGTCGATCATTCAACCATGCATTTTACTTAATATCACTTGATAAAAAAAATTAAATAAATCGTTTTCCGAACTTAGATAATCTTTAATTTTCTGGATTAATATGTTTTTGTAAGTTCAACTGGTTTTTGCTTACGGACCATGCATGGACTTTCTCTTTATATATGTAAAAGTCATCACCTGATAATACTATTTCTCACTCTCCTTTTAATCTGTGGTATGTTCTAATTGCTTCTCTTTTTTGGCTTTCAAGAATTATGCCAACTTGTACAATTTACAGATCAAGTATGATTTCTATGACGGTCAAGATTATGCACTTTTTTAGAAACCTATATCCGCTGAATTTTAACACTTCTTCGATGGCCAAGTATTTAACCATTGTGAAACAATTTTTCGAAAATATAGTAAATTAGTAATACTGATTTTAAAATAGTAGTTAAGCAGTCATCTGTCGCCCAATGATAAATCTTGTGTGTTTTGATCTTCATGTACAGAGAAACGTAGAAGGTAATAAATAAATTAGCAGTGCATATTGAACGGCAAAGGTCAGACAATATTAAACTGAGAAGCAAGATAATCAAAACAGTCTAAAGTAAAACAGTGTACAAAATTAAATATTCGACACAAGATTTCTTTCGACCTAAGCCCCGGAGGTTCGGCGACCGCTTCAAACGCCTACATCTCCCGTTGAGCATCCAACAAGTTGGATTACGCTCGGTTGCACTATAATGGCCAAAAATTGGCAACGAAAGGTTACAAAAGTTCAACAAATACAAAGAGATAAAGCAAAGACACTTATCTCTCAAGATTGACCCAATACTTTCGAAGAATCACAAAGAATCTTCATTGCATCCTTCTCAAAACATCACAACTCAAGAGAACATATGATTTTACAGATAATCACTCAGAATATCTAACTAGATCACTAAGATTTACACGTTTAGGGCCTCAAATCAGAGATTTGAGCCAAAGAATCAGAACTGACGAAACCCTAAACAAACGAGAGGTTTTTCTCTCTCACAAGAACCAAGAGTTAGACACGTTAATTGAGTGAGAGTCGTGCCAAGTGAAACGGCACCAATAATAGAAGGTTCTAGATCCAATCCAACAATCTAGATGAAGCCACGTGTCTCCATCTAGTTGAAAGTGTCAATTTAATAAAGTTGCAGTTTCATAAAATACGACTTCTCAGCATCATAGAATTCTGGAAGCATATAACCATGGTTCGAGTCTCACACATATAACATATTAAGGTTTTGTATAAATTTTTACATACTAAGATCATGAATTTATTAAGATCTTGTAAAGAGAAGCGTGAAACATATTTTGTACGCAATATTGAATAAAACTAATTAGTATAATCAACAGTATATCAACTTCTTTTTCTTTTTAATTATCAAGTTCTTCCACTAATGAGTGACTCTTTTCTTCATTCATTTGTGGATTCTATAGAGATATTGCACAACTATAAGTAATGATATTAAGTTGAAGCGTTACATATACATGATTTTCTCATAGCTACAATTGAATTTTGCCTATATTTTCTTTGCTCATGTTTTTCTTACCTATGAGTATTTGGGAGCATTGAATATGCTCATGTACGAGATTAAAAGCGGTCCAAGTTAGATGACAAAAGCGAAAGGTATGTCTTTATCGGCTATGACTCTCGCTCTAAAGGCTACAAGTTGTATAATCCAAACAAGGAGAAGATCACCATAAGTAGAGATGTTGAGTTTGATGAAGTATGAGCTTGAGATTGGGGAGTCCATGAAGAAGATTATTACTTCTTATCATTCTTCGAGGAAGAAGAACAAGAGAATGGAGAGCAGCAAGAGCTTACCAGTCCACCTTTATCACCTACTTATGGAGATGCTTCCATATCATCTTCACAAGGAGAAAGCTCAAGCGAAAGGACACCACGAATGAGGAGCCTACAAGAGCTATATGAGGTAACATAAATTCAAAATGATCTCACACTTTTTTGTCTTTTTGCCGATTTTGAACCAATAGGGTATGAAGAAGCGGCGCAAAATAAAAGATAGAGAGATGCCATGAATGAAGAGATTAAGGCTATCAAGAAAAATGACACATGGGAGCTACAAGTCTTTCCAAAGGAAAGAGAGCAATCGGAATTAAGTGGTGTACAAGGTAAAAAAGAACGCTAAAGGAGAAATAGAAGATACAAAGTAAGATTGGTCGCCCAAGGCTACAACCAATGGTCGGGAATCGATTATGAAGAGTTATTTGCTCCTGTTGCTCGTTTAGAAACCATAAGATTAATTATTTCTTTTACAACGGAAAATAAGTGGAAGATATTTCAAATGGAAGCGAAATCAGCTTTTTCTAAATGGTTATCTTGAAAAAGAAATCTATGCAGAGCAACCAACTGGCTATAAAATAAAAGGACATAAAAGTAAAGTCTTAAAACTAAAAAAGGCTTTATATGGATTGAAACATGTTCCAAGGGTATGGAATAGTAGACTTAACAAGTACTTTCTAGAAAATAATTTCACAAAATGGCCTCACGAGTATGAACTTTATACAAAGGTAAATGAGAAAGGAGATATTTTGATTGTTTGTTTGTATGTAGATGATCTTATATTCACAGGAAATAATCGAAGTATGATCACTGAGTTTAAGAAGGCCATGACTTAAGAATTCAAGATGATGGATATCGGGCTCATGGCCTGCTATCTTGGGATTGAGGTAAAGCAAATGGAGTATTGCATCTTTATCTCACAAGTAGGATATGCGGAAGAAATTCTAAAGAAATTCAATATGGAGGATTGCAAGCTTGTATGCATCCCCGTTGAATGCGGAACCAAGTTGTTGAAGAATGATGAAGGTGAAAAAGTAAACCCAACACTTTTTACGAGTCTTGTTGGAAGTCTAAGATACTTGACGCGCACAAGATCAGATATCCTTTTTGGAGTTAGACTCATCAGTCGCTATATGGAGACATCTATCATGACCCATATGAAAGCTGCAAAGAGAATTCTTCGCTACATCAAAATGACAGCGATTGGGGCGGAGTCAGTGATGATAGAAAGAAGCAATCGATCATAGCATTATCTACATGTGAAACTGATTATGTTGCATCTACATCAAGTGTCTGCCATGCGATTTGGTTTAGAAACTTGTTGAAGACGCTTGGAGTATTACAAGAAAAACCAACCGAAATCCATGTTGTTAACAAATCGGCATTGACATTGGCAAAGAATCTAGTATTCCACGATAGAAGCAAGCACATTGATACAAGATATCACTTCATAAGATAAAGTATTGTAAAGAAAGAAGTGCAACTGAAATATGTAACCTCCCAGGAGTAGATCACCAACATTCTCACTAAGCCACTCAAGCATGAGGTGTTTCGCAAGTTAAGAGCTCTACTTGGAGTAGTAAAATCAAATTTAAGGAGATGTTAAATAGTAAACTTGATCTTTGGACTAAATAATATGGGCTTAAAAACTTTGCCGATAGGCCCCAAAGTAATTAAAAAGCCCAACATGTCTAGCATTTCTAGAAACATTATCTATAAAAATTTATATAAATATCTACTAGAAAAATCTATGTAAATATTTAAGTAAAATATGTGGTGATAAATGTGGTAATGTGTCAAAAAGAATATGTGGTCTTATAAAGTATATCTAGAGTATTCTTGAAAAATATCTTATCCAATGTGTGGTCTAAAAGTTTTATGTAAATATATGGTTTAAAATTCTCTAGAAAAATGTGTGGACTTGAAACTTCATGTAAACATTAAATTAAGGGGTAGTGTTCACCATTTTGTAACAAGCCAAAAAAAGTGTGTAAATCTTGAAGTTGATAAATACAAATTTCCTTTTGTTCATTTCCTTTTTCCTATTAATGTTGTCCTCCTTAAGTGCCTTATCCAATCCAAGTTTGTAAACCCCTATTTCCTCCAACAGTGAAACTCTAAGATTCCTTACTATTCGCAAAAATTACTGAATTAGCGTTTTCAATCTATTGCAATCTTTTGGAGGCCAGTCTAAGTGGATTGTAAATGCTTTTAAGGATTTCATTTTCTGTGTAAAATTTGCATCGGAAAATTTTGAATTATATTTATTTATTTTAATCTTTGGGAGGAAAGGCTTTAAATTTTGAATTAGCGTTTGTGCAAGGCTGAACATCCCATTATTGTTTTGGTTAGAAACCCTGAAACCGTAAAAGGATTTTATTATTATTATTATTTTTTAAAAACCACTATTATTGTTTTCAATCTTTCTGTCCAAACTCCCGACATATTCCACTTGAATAAAAAAGTTTACGTATTTCTTAACCTTGGCCTGAGAGTTAACATGCAATTAAAAGATTGGTCGTTAATCCATGTATTTAATAAGGCGTGAGGCATGGTAAGATGGCAAGTGCGCAGCCTCACGTGTCTGCTAAATTTTTTATAGAATTCCTTCTGTAGCATTTCTTTTGTTCCTTGTTTCTTGTCATATCTCTTCAATTTCGATGTTCGTGGCCCTAAATAAGCGTAAATTACACTTAGCATCAAACTCTCAATGTATTCTACTTATTCCCAAGTTTTTGTTAAATATTCCTTAATAACCGAATGCGGGTCAACTCATAATTAAAAGGGTGACTTTAATTCATGTCTTTTACTTAATTAATTCACTTTATCAAAAAAATAAAAATAAATCCTTTTCCTACATTTGGTTAGGTATATCACGTGAACTTTAATAATCTTTAATGTTGTGAATTAATATGTATTTGTAAGTTTGAATTGGTTTTTGCTTACGGACCATGCGTGGACTTTCTCTTTACATATGAAAAAGTCATCACCTAATAATACTACTTTTACCCTATAAATAACTAAAAAATAATCTGTACTAAGCATAATTCAGGAAGCATGGCTAATAGCAAAGTTAGCATCCTTACTCTCCTCCTAATCTGCGGTATGGTTACTGATCTGTGCACTTTTTTGTAACTTATATTGGCTGAATTTTGACACTTCTATGATGGCCAAGTATTTTATCATTGTGAAACAATATTGCAAAAATACTGTAATATAGGTCTTATGATATTAGTTAAGCAGTCATCTGCTGCCCATTGGTAAATATTGTGTGTTTTGATAAAGAGAAGCATTGAAGAAGTTGCTTGTGCATATAAAGTATTAAGATTTTAGATAAATTTTTACATGCATGCAGTTGAATTTATTGATCATTTTCTTTCTGGGCATTTTTTCCTTAATTATTAAGTTTTTCCACTGTTAAATTAATCTTTTCTTCATATGTTTGTGGATTCTAAAGTGATGTTGCAATACTATAAGTTACGCCATTAAGTTGTAGCGTGACATATACATGATTTTATCTTAACTACGTATTGAATTTTCTCGACAAGATTGAGCTAAACAATAGGTTTGATTTCAATATTATGTTTTTCTTTCTATGATAGCATTGTTTTTCTTGGGAAGCAAAGTGCAATATGCTGAAGCCCAAAGGAAAATTTTTACCCACAAGTTTGCCTCAAAGTTGGCTACATGACTTGCCCAAAATCTGGTCCTAAGAAGCTTCATCCGGCTGCACAAACTGTTGCAAAGTAAAGAAGGGCTGCAAACTTTACAGATCTAATGGAAGCCTAATTTGTACTGGAAAGCAATTGGATATGAGATAAATCTTAAATAAATTGTCATATGCTTATGCTATAAACAGGCAAAATAATAAATGAATCTCTTATAATAAATCCAAGATTCAGGTTTAATTGTATTGATGGACGTTGTTTCTATGAAATTATCCTTTACATAATTACTTCTCTAAGTTTTTTGGGCGAGACTTAGTTGTTGTATAATCTTTTGTTCATCTACTAGCTACCCTGGACCTCCTGCATAATCAAAAAATTGTTGTAAAAACAGAAAATGCACACAGCATGATGAGGGACAATACAAAAATTCAATCGAAATAATAGATATATGTACCCATGGATCTCTTGAGGATAAAATTTACCTCTGGCACATATGAATAGATCATGACTAGGTGGGGCTTGCTGTTACACCAACTTTATTCATAGTCAAAGTCAAAATTATTCATTCAAAGTCATCAATTCATTTGATCAAAGTCAAAATCAAATAAGGACTTGATTTGAAAAAGAAATTCTTATGGGAACTATTATAAGCTAGTCGTATTTGTTGGGACTAATTGGTAATTATAGAAACAATTAGGTAAGTTTTAAATGAAACATACGGGTTAAATTGCAAACTATGGCAAAGTGGAGGGCCTCACTAATGAATATATAATTATTTTCCCATTTAACTTGAGGAGTAGAGAAGACAGAGGGAAAAAAGAAGAATCGAGGAACGGGAAGAAAAAAAAAAGGAAAGAGAAGAAAAGAAGAAAAAAGGAAGGAAAGAAAAAGAGAAGAAGAAGAAAGAATGTACTTTTCATCATAGGCAAAGATACGCAAGAGAAACACAACAACAAGAGATGGCTAATGCATAAAACAATCCGATTATTCAAGTGAATGAAGGTGCAGTGGTCTATGAAGGAAATATGCCAATTGGGGACTTCATGACTCCACAAATTATTAAGAGCCAATCTAACATCGTTTATCCTCTTTTTGGATAGCCAAATTTTAAGTTGAAGACCAATGCTATCTAGCTATTTCAGAATGGACATCAATTTTATGGCAGAGCCAATGAAAATCCACATATACACGTATCTCAATTTTTGGAGATGTTTCAACACTTTTAATATCAAGGGGTTTCAAATGATATGATCAGATTGAGATTATTTCCACATATTCTACGGGATAGAGCACTTGAACGGTTAGATTCATAGCCTATTGCATATCAATATTCGGAATGACTTAGCTTAAAAATTATGCATCAAATTCTTTCCACCAGCAAAGATATCAAAATTGAAGCATGACATATCCATATTTTGGTAGGGAGAAATCGAATCCTTCGATGAAGATTGGAACAGATTCAAGAATATGCTTCAAAAATGTCCTTATCATGGCATTAGTAAAGGGCTTCAGGTCTAATATTTTTATGCAGGTCTACTTTCATCTTACAAAAGTATGGTTGACTAATCATCCAATGGCTTCTTAACCACGAAGACAATTGATGAAGCATTGGAGTTGTTTGACAGAGTGGCTACTACTACAGCCACGTGGGTTTTTGAGTGGGTTGTTCATAAGAAGGCAGGAAGAGTAAATGAGGTGAACACCAATAACTGGGTTATTTGTAAAAATTGATTCTTTGGCTCATAAGGTTAAGAGCATATCACAGTCAATCAATGTAGTACAATTCAAGCGGCTAAGTTGTGAAGAATGTGGGACATATCATATTATAGTAGATTGTCCAATTCTTGCACAAAATATTGAACATGTTGAATATGTACAAGGAGGTCAGCACCAACAAAATAACCCACATTCTGATACATATAACTCAGGTTGGAGAAAGTACTCGAATTTTTCTTGGGGTAATCAAAATCCTACTGCATTGCACGATTACCAGTATTAGCAGCCTGAAAAGAGAGTTCTACTAGAAGAAATGTTTGGAAAATTTATAGAAAGGACAGAGCACTATACAAAGTTAAACAATCAATTTATGAGAAGAACTGAGATAACCCTTAAAAATCAAAGTGCTGCAATCAAGAACCTGAAAACTCAAATGGGATGGATGACACTTGCCATATCAAGTAAAGTAGCAGGTACCCTACCGAGCAATACTAATACTAACTCCAAGGAGCAAGTAATGGCTATAAGTATTTTAGAGGATGTAATAATTGAGTATCCCTCTGTGAAAGCAATTACAACAAAAAAATGGTGTGTAGTTGCCAATTATGAACAAAGTGAATACAAGAGATGAGGAGCAAGTGGATGGTCTAAACAATCAATCGAGAAAATTTTGAAAGAGAATAGAGGCAATCCACAATTTAAAGCACCGATCCGGTCAGAGAATATAGCTTCCATCTTGTTTCCACAAAGGTTAAAGAAACACAAGCTAGATAAATAGTTTGAGGAGTTTTTTAATGTACTAAAAAAACTCCACATCAATATCCTGTTCATAGATGCGATAAGGCAAATTTCAAGCTACGCAA